ATGTGTTTAAAGTTGGATTCTTGAGGTCTTTCAACAGATTCTCTTTCAGATTAAAATCTGGAGTCTGGCTGATATGAAATAAAACATTTATATTATTTCAAATCAGATAAAAAAAAATGTGGGTTAAATTATAACATTAGTTTTCATTCCACTCTAATTTTGTCAAACTATGTCTTGCAATGTCAGAACTTTCAATATTTAGAATACATGATTTTTAGGATGTCTTAATGGTGACTTTATATTTTCATGTATGCATACAGATCAGAAATTGACTTATGTAGGATATTTGCACGAGTTTTTACAGCCAAAACAAAATATTATATGTTGACCACGACTTTACAAACATTATTTTATGTTTCAGACATGATCTAGGTAATATTTTGAAATGAAAATTACATAAATTCTGGTGCTACAGATAATAACTTTATGTCAGATGTTCTTCAAGACTAAAAATGTTTAAATAACAAACTGATTACCAATTACTGTTTTGTGCAATTGCAATTATAATTGCACAAAACAGTGTTTATATGTGTATGTATTGTTACTGTATGATACAAGTTAACTTTGTCTAAAATTGAACATATTTTTTTTTACTATTTAATGTGGTTTAATGTGAAACTCCAGATTCTCCTTGGAGTCCCAGCATTAATGTTCCCTCTGACCTGAAGGAGCATCAGTCTGTCACTGTAACCTGCTCAGCTTTCACTCCCTGTCCACACTCACCTCCTCAACTCACCTGGAATCTCCAACAAGACTCTCTCAGACAAACAGAGAAAAACACAGATGGAACCTTTACAACTAAAATCCAGGAGAACATCACTCTGTCAGACACACATGATGGATACAACATCAGATGTTCTGCCAGATATCCTGTGATTGGAGGAAACAAGACAGCAGAGACAGAAGTGACTCTCAGTGTTTCATGTAAGTGATCCTGTCAGCAGGTCATGGTTCAGCTGTTTGTGATCCATAAAGTTCATGTGTCTCATTTTCCTCAGATGCTCCTAGAAACACCTCAGCATCCATCAGTCCATCAGGTTTGGTGTCAGCAGGTAGCTGGGTGGAGCTGAGCTGCTCCAGCAGAGCCAAACCCGTCAACTTCACCTGGTTCAGGAACGGCATAAAAGTGTCTGAAATACAGAATTACAACTTCAATGTCACTGAGGAAGGAGAGTTTTACTGTGTGGCCAAAAACAATCTGGGAAATGAAACATCATCAAGGATCTGTGTTAGTATTAAAGGTAAACGTTGTTACTTCTTGTTTCAAATAATTTCTGATTCTTAAAGTGTCTGACATTAGAAACATAGATCAATAACATTAGCAGTAGTGATTTTAAAAATGTGAGCACGTTCTGATCAGACCCCGTCTTTGGATTTTTATTATCTATTACCTATAATTTGCTCTTTTTTCAATGTTGGTTTTCCAAGTTTTACCTGCAATGATTTGAAAAACAAGCATTGAGAGCACAGGTTTAAATTTAATGCAGTTTTTCTCTGATCCACAAATAAATACAATTATTTTTAGATGGTTTTGCCATTACAATTGATATTTGACCACTGCTGTTATCAAAAATGGTAGATTTTTATCCAGAGGAGGTAGAGATCAATCCATAAGCACAAAGCCTATTAAATTATATTATGATGTATGTTAAAGATCAATGTTTGTCATTCGCTCAGCTGTTATAAAGCTTCATTAAACAGACTGAAAGTTTCAGCTCTGATGACATAAATAAGGATGTTTTAAGATCGATCCTGCAACAGACAAACTGTAATCCTGTCAGAAACATGGTGTTATTGTTCACAGTGATGCAAGTTTCAAATCAAAATAGATTAATACAGTGTTGACAAAAAGAAAATAACTTTTTCTGAACTATAAAACTTATATGTAATGCCAATAATAGGTCAAATAATTTCCAAAGAAATGATTTATGGTTAGAGGAGACAAAGACTGAGCTGTTAAGTCACAATGAGGCTTTAAAAACAAAGAAGATATCAAGATAGAGGTTATGGCTATATTCAAATTAGTGTATTTCACAAAACTCCAGAATGAAAACACTGCGATTATGGACTTGTGTTGTTTTGACATTAACTGAATGTTGAAATGTTTTTCTCTCATTTGTAATGGAAACACAGCTACTTGTGGTAAATGCCTGGATTTTAGATGCAATTTGGTGTTTCATCAGGATCATAACATTGAACTGATATGAAGAATGTTTTTTCAAAGGTTAACACAGTCTAACATTAATGATGTAAAACATTAACATTTTACTTGATGTTTATGTAAACTCCAAACCGGTATTAATATGTTTCATATTTTATGTCCCAGATTCTCCTTGGAGTCCCAGCATTAATGTTCCCTCTGACCTGAAGGAGCATCAGTCTGTCACTGTAACCTGCTCAGCTTTCACTCCCTGTCCACACTCACCTCCTCAACTCACCTGGAATCTCCAACAAGACTCTCTCAATCAAACAAAGAAAAACACAGAAAGAACCTTTACAACTAAAATCCAGGAGACCATCACTCTGTCAGACACACATGATGGATACAACATCAGATGTTCTGCCAGATATCCTGTGATTGGAGGAATCAAGACAGCAGAGACAGAAGTGACTCTCAGTGTTTCATGTAAGTGATCCTGTCAGCAGGTCATAATTCATCTGTTTCTGATCAATAAAGTTCATGTGTCTCATTTTCCTCAGATGCTCCTAAAGACACCTCAGCATCCATCAGTCCATCAGGTTTGGTGTCAGCAGGTAGCTGGGTGGAGCTGAGCTGCTCCAGCAGAGCCAAACCTCCACCCAGATTCACCTGGTTCAGGATCAGCAAAGATGGAGCCGTTAATGTATCTGTGGAGCAAGTTTACAAATTAAATGCTACTGAGGAAGAAGAGTATTACTGTGTGGCCACAAATGATTTGGGTCAACAAAAATCATCTGTGAGTTTTGTTGGTATTAAAGGTAAGACATTAACTAAAAGTAATCTAGTCATGACTGACTAAATGACAAAATTCATATTTTGGCATTTTTTATAAAGAATTACTGTCCAGATTTTGGCTTATAAAGCAAAAAAAACAAACAAACAAAAAAAAAACAACATCCAATTTGAATTATTTGCAGTAGCAACAAATTATGAGGACTCATGAGGACTAAGTGGGTTTTTTTGTTCCAGATGATCCATCATCTGGATTCCTGATCCTTAATATATTGAAGATCCTGGGCATTGTATTGCTCTGCATTAGCATCATCAGCTTTGAGTGGTGAGATTCTCTTCTATGAGTTGATAGTTTGCAGCTGCTGTTAGATGTTGGTGTTTAAATATATATTTTTTTCTTTCAGCTGGTTCAGATTCTCCAAGACACCAAAGAAGGTAAATTAACTGAGTTCATTGTTTGCATCCTAAAACAAACAAGACAGCAAAAATTGTCCATGCACGGTCTAAAGCATCCAGTATGGGTAACAAAGCTTTAATTTTATATCGAAAGATTTTAGAATTAGTTAAGTCGAAAATCCATTATTCAGCTCATCTTCATTACCATAAATGGTAAATATACTGCATAGATATAAAATACTTAGAGTTTACAGTGAGTTACATTCCCTCAAACGCATCCATACACTGATGCACAGGATCATTAGGTAACTTAGGGTTCAATCTTACAAAAAGACATTTCAACATATGATGAAAGGAAGCTGGAATCAAACTCACAACCAAATTTCAGACGATCACCACAAAACTACAACTTACCATGTCATTAAAGGACAAATATAGTGTTTTGTGTTTTTAGTTGGGAATCCAGTGAGACTGAAAATAATGAGACCAGCCTTTATTTCCTCTGAAACAGTTTGAGCTCAAGTACATTTACTGTAAAATACATTTTGTTCTTTCTCTACACAGGAAACAGAAGAGCTAACCTATGTCAACAATGTGATGGAAACTAAAGCATCATGAGCCTCAAGGAGACCAGGAGGATGTCAAGGCCTCTTCCTTGACTTTTATCCATCTGTTTTTCTGTCCAATTGTTCCAATTTATTTCTGCAAGAATCAGTTACTGAAAGGCTGGATGAACCCTGAATGGATCTCCAGTCCATCACATCACCATTCATTGTGCTTTAGATATTTTTTGATACTTATCTCTACATTCTAGTGTGTTACTTATGGAGTAAATAGTGATGCTGTAGTGGATAATTGAGTTATAAATAAGGCCTATAAATGCTGAGTTTGTAAGAGTGAAGCAGATCTTCTGTTGAATGTAAAAATTGTCCCTGGATACAAAAAGTGGATTGTTTTTTAGAGTTGGCTTTGTGTTTCTTACTGCTACATACAGGCATGTTTATTTTATTTTTTTATTTTTTAGACTGAATTTAAAAGCATTCGCTAGATGGTTTTGCTTACAAACAAAATGTGTAAAATATGAAGCATCAAACCTTACCATTATTGTATTCTACTTCAGTTTGAATAAATAAACAGAATATCATAAAAACTTTAGTCAACATTTTTTTGTTGTCATCAAAGCATAAAATCATTCTTATGCATAACATCTGAGGTGTTACCTTGTTTCCTTCAAGCAGGTAGTGAAGAAAAATGCAGCTTAATTCACATCATGTGAATTTGAGACACTTCTAAGTCTAAATGTAGGTGAAGCAGGTATGAACTCCAGCAGCTGATAGAAACCAGTGATGTTGCCTTGGACTTCGCCTGCAAAGGAAAGTCATGTTGACATTTACATTCATGGGCGATGTTCTCTGGGAAGGCCCCACATATATTAACATGTTTACAATAACACAATGGCAAATATTTCAGCTAGATTTAACTGTTTAACCCAGAGTCTTATAGCACGTTCACACCAAACGCGTTTTGAGCGTCTGGCTTACATGGAAAGTTTATTTAGAGGCGTGTCCAGAACCATTGTGGCTCGTTTCGAGCATCTAGCGCGGCGCGATTTGAACCGTTTGGAGCGTTTTGAGCCTTTGAAGCGTCGAGCGCGTCCGACACTCCACATAGACATAGACTTAAACCAGACGCAAAGTGCACGCGCGTCGAACTTGAACCGTCCAATGCGTTTTTGACGTGCATCATTAGCGGGTTTGTTACGTCCACCAAGGGCACAACATATCTGAGGACACGAGACAACAGATGAGGGTTCAACCAAAATGTTTTTATTTATAAATTCTCT